TTAAGCTATAGTTAGGCCTTTGAAGAACAACCTCCTGATATACGCTGCTTAATAATATTTAAAAACATATAGGATGTTAATAACATGCACTTTTGATATTGTGGTATTTACAATATTTTGGTGGGAAGTTGCCAGATTTGCGAATTTGTCCTCAACATGACAAATTACGATGTTGCTTCAGAGACAAGTTAACTCACAGTCGGACGATCGAATCTTTGAGTTTTATACAAACTGATTTTATGAGCAAATAAAATATTTATACTTATTTCGAGTCTCTTGGACATATACAGTATGTGGACAAATGTATGGTACTTGTTGGATTAATACCAATATACCAACATATATCGACATATGCTCTACAAGATTTTGCTCGCGAGACTTGAGTCTTTGGTCAAATTTTTAGTCCACATCTTGATTGACTTTGTTTATGAGGTAACCTTGGCCATTCAGTTTTTGTTAAAACATGGGTAAAACACTTTTTTGGACCAATATCTGCAAAATTTAGGTTTAGAAAATTGTTTCTCACACCATTATTGATATCAAAAAACGTTCCAAATTATTTCTTTTTATTTTGCAAATTTGGGGGCCCCCCTTACTCTGAGCCCCAAAGTACCTGGGCTCCCTCCCCCCCCCCCTCCTCTGAAAGGCCCTGATCCTGTCCATTACAAAAGAACCAATGATAAATTTGTACTAATACTTTGGAAACAAAATGGAACTATTATTAAAGCTGATTGAACTAACAAAGTTTGCAGAACTTTAATAACATTTAAAGTAGAGTAAAGTGCAGGTACAACAATAGTCAACAACAAATGGATATATAGATTATAGACGAATGTGACGTTCATTTGCCAAACTTTAAAAAACTGCATAATATTCTAAGAAGTCGTCCATAAGCATTTCTGTATTTCTTATGTCTTATTCCATATATGAAAGGATTAATTATCGAATTGATAGCAATTAATTCCGAGAAAATTATATGAAGTGTTACTGGGATACAATTACACTCTCCTAGTAGATATGCAGATATTGAATAGGGAATAAAGCAACTTAGGAGCACCCCTATCACTATCACAAATGTTTTCAATGGTTTTAGCTCCTTTGCAATTCTCTGCCAGGATGCATTCCGCTGCTCATTGACATTGGTTGAATTACCTGCTTGCACCCCTTGATTATATTGAACAATTGAACCAGCAGCTATCCTTCGTCGATGCCTCCGAGCAATTTTAAATATCTTGTAATTGAAGAAAATGATCAAACTGAGTGGGATGTAGACGTATACAATAAATGTAAATGAAACGAACTCATTTGAAGCACGGCAAACACCTCGAACTTCGCCAGGACCGATGTATATTACCGATACAGGAATAAAAGCTAAGGCCCATATCCACACAGTGCAAACTAGAATATGGACTCTCTGCCATGTCATAATCATGGGATATTTCAGCGGCCATATTATAAACAGATATCTATCAAAACTGATCGCTAAAAGAGTGAGAATTGAGACAAAAATAGATACACCACCACTTGAATAAATGAACTTGCAGAAAAACTCTTCATCGTTGTGAACGTCATTCACAATTTGAAGCAGTTCAAAAATCCAGATAGGATAAATTGTTAGACAGACTAACAAATCAGTAACACTAAGGTTTACGATAAGCCATGTGGTCGGTGATTTATCCTTGTTCATAAAAACATTGTAAATTATAACTCCAATATTGCCCAAGACTCCGACCACAATGCTGATGCATTTGAATATCATGAAACCAATCAAAAATTGGGAGGAAGCCTGCTCTGGCTCTGTTGGGACTGTAAGATTACTTTGTTTTGTAGTCATGTCTTGCATTAAGGCTTTACCAGAAAGGTTTTACTTTTGCTGAATTTGTTGATTTGAATTCAATTCATTCACCTGTCTTTAATCCCGTCCAAAATTCAGTTGCGAATGTTGAAAATAAAACGCCAGCCGTACAAAAACAAATTGCTTTTACTCAACAAATATGTCAGTCGATATTATTTGCTGTTAATAAAGTTTGATGTACTGAGTCAGCCTGCCTTGTTTTACTTGGACTTTATATCATGACAATCTAAATGTAAACAATAGAAAATGCTAGTAAGACTATCAAAACATTTTTGGGATCAAACAAAAATGAAAAATGTCATGCAGGAAATATAAACATATGCATCCTACACAAGTATATGCTTAAAGCCCGGATCAAACTAGGATGAGAGTGCATGAGAGGTGAGACCAGATTTGGTAAAAATTTTAAGATGATGATTTTTTTTTATATCAGTAGACAGTAACTGTTTTGGTAAGAATTCGTGTTTGAATGTTCTCTTGTGTAGACGCGGTAAGACTTAAAGTCTGCAATGGACGATGGATGAAACACTCTAGCCTGCAAAACCCGCTAACCCATACAAGCATGGAATAGGAAATTAGAAGTTTTCCCTAGTTGTATTGTTATAAATAGGCATACTCAGAGTACGAGATTGACTATATTATCACGGATTTTTAAAACGGGAGATGCAAAATTTGGTCATTTTTTTCTTGATTTAGTATATTCTCAACACACAACGTTTTATAGTAATGACCGCTGGGAAAATCTCTATATAATAATTAAAAAGGCCATGAATGAGATTTGACTTACGAAGTGATACGAGATACGATACGCAATAGGACCCGACCCTAAATAAAGCGATGTCGAAAAGGACAGTAGTTATATCTTACCATAAAGTTTCAACCCAAAAGCTTTACTTTTGCTGAATTGATTGAGTTGAATTCAAGTCACTCTCTAAGTCACTGTCAATTAAGACGGTCAGTGATTCAAGTTCTTTGCCGGACTTTCTTCAAAGCTCAAATTTCATATAATTGCGAATGCAGCATTAATAAAAACAAATTGCTTTTACTGCAATCAACATGACAGTTGATATTATATTCTAGCATATACTTGGGAGGCGGATAAGTGCTTTTCACGCAATTTGATTGGCAGCTTGCTTTATTTACTTGGACTTATTATTTTGCTATCATTGAATGTATATTAAATCTCGCAGAATGAAGTCGAGCAGTACCTTAACCATTTGGACACAACAAAGGCTTATGGCCCAGACGGAATACCACCACGTCTACTGAAAGAATTCTCAAGAGAAATCTCGACAAGCCTCTGCAGTTTGTTCAACATGTCCTTAACAACAGGCCGCCTACCTATGGAATGGAAACATGCGAACGTTATACCCATCCACAAAAAAGACTGTATCGAACCCGTGACCAACTACCGTCCCATTTCCCTTCTGCCAATAATTTCCAAAGTTCTCGAAAGATGCGTGTTCAATAACATTTACCCCTTTGTCCGTGTACTGATCAATAATGTCCAACATGGCTTCTTAAGAAATCGTTCATGTATAACCCAGCTTCTAGGTATACTACATGACATTGGTAAAAATCTGGATCGAAACAAACAAATCGATGTGCTATACCTAGATTTCTCGAAAGCGTTCGACTCTGTAGATCATGACATTCTACTTCACAAACTACAAATGCATGGCATAAACGGAACGCTTTTACGATGGTTCGAAAACTACTTGAACGATAGATGGCAGCGAGTTGTCATTGATGGTGCAGCTTCTACATGGTCTCCAGTAACATCAGGTGTACCGCAAGGCAGCATTCTGGGACCGTTGCTTTTTGTCATATTCATAAATGATCTTCCCGATAACGTTTCACCCAGTACGAACTCAGCACTGTATGCAGATGATTCAAAGTTATACAGAGAAATAAAATCGGTAGAAGATTGCCAGTTCCTGCAAGACGACCTTGCCAAACTGGAAAAATGGAGCACTGATTCAAAAATGCGATTTAACACTGAAAAGTGCAAAGTGCTGACAATATCAAGAAAGCAACACCCAACGCGATTTCCATATCGCATATATGGTAATGAATTATCTCCTTGTCAAGCCGAGAAAGATCTTGGTATGCTCGTGACCAGCAATTTGAAATGGGGCCCACACATACTGAAGATGGTGGCGAAGGCAAATAAAATGCTTGGTATCCTCAAACGCTCATGCTTTGACATTAACCACACCCAGGTCAGACGGACCTTATATCTAACGCTAGTTAAATCTCAACTTGTTTATGGAAGCGAGGTATGGTGCCCTCCTAACAACAAAGAAAATCGAAGGAGTTCAAAGAAGAGCAACACTGTGGATACTAAAGAAGAAACGCGGAGAACTAAGTTACAAACAGCGCTTAATGCAACTTAATTTAATCCCGCTTGTATACGACAGAGAACAGAAGGACTTGATATTTTACTATAAATGCATGTACGGTCTCACAGATTTTGACATATCGCAGTATGTTGAAGTTACAACGGGAAGGACACGCGCGGCCACTTCTGGTCTTCTGAGAACACAAGCATGCAAAACAAGTACATTTCAAAGTTCGTATTGTGTTAGAATTGTTAAACTGTGGAACTATGTTTGTACGTCTGCTCCTTCGTATTGTTATGTCACTGTCTCCTCTTTTAAGTCATACTTGCGCAATACTTACATCCACCTCACTAGTACTTCCTACACTCCTGACTTACCTAGTTCACACTCACTTATCACGACTCAATAAAAAATATCTAACATTTCTCTCCTTGTCTTTTCATTCTTTCTGCTTTTTCATTCTCTTAGTCTTTTCATTTAATCTTCCTTGTCTTTGTTTCTTGTCTTTGTTTGTTGTCTAGTGGTGAGCACCTTGCATGGGACATAGTCTCGTTTGTGTTTCGCCACTTTTGGCACTTTCCTCGTCTTCTTGTACAATGTAATTGTCCGTTTAAGTTATGTAAATATTCAGTTTTTTATGTGCCAAATTAAAGTTGTTAAAAAAATAATAGCTAGTAATACATATCTCAGTTTCTATTTCACCGCTGTGATATTTCAGAAATAGAAAACAGTTCCATGTTTCTATATACAGTTATAAAAACTGAAACACGCGTGGGAGTTTGGGAGAACGAGCGCGAAGGGCGTGTTTTCCACGTTATTTCAAGTTCTCTCAAACAAAAGTACAAGAAGAAATGTTTTCTATTCCTTTTATAATATATAAATTTATAATATATGTCGATTAATTAAGAATAGAAGACTAGAACTAAGGAGACTTCTGCCATCCTTATTCACAGTCCTTCTTTGTGGTGCAAGAACATAGGTGTACAGGGCGTGGGGCCGTATGAATGAAGTCGGGCAAATTATAAGCGTAAGTCGGGCAAATATTGAGGGAAATAACTTTTAAAAGAAGACATACTCAGTGCAATGTAGTATTTAAAAATACAAGAATTATGTAAAAGTAACGAGGAATTTTAACAGATTAGCAAAATTTTTCGTCGACTTCCCCCCCCCCCAATTGCAAAATGTTTTCAATAAGTCGGGCACAATGGGAAAAGTCGGGTAAATTTCCTTGCGCCCCCATATTTTTTCTCTTCCGTACGCCCATGTGCAAGAAGTAGGGGCAATCGTCCTCTACTGCCATTTCAGTCCAGAATGCCATGTTAGGGTAATGCCAAAGGAACAGTGGATGTAATGTGTACTGTCACAGCACGAATGTACCAAAAACCTATAATCATTAATTAATAACCTAATCATTAAACCTGCAGTTAATCAATAATATGCAGAAAATATTAATCGCGGAATTCCTCAACATTACTGGCGTCACTCATGCTGTCATAACTGCATGCAACTGGATTCAATGACGAAGATATGGCAAAACGAATAAAAATTTTGATACAGCGAGTAATGTTGCGTTGAATAGGTTGTGAAAATGGAAATTCCATTTTGTCGTATCCCAGTTCAAAATGATTACGGAATGTCACCTGACGTCGTATTGTTACGGGAAATAGTTCTGCTTCAATGACCCAGACGAAGTTCAAACTGTTTGCGTCTTCAATGTTGAGAACGTAAAGACCAACACTCCACAAATTTGACTCTAATATAAGTGATAACGTCAATTCAAAACCACACCACCAAAATCTATCCGATTTGTAATTCTGCTGGTTATCTTCAGAAATGCAAAGCTGCCATGTAAATGAAGGTTCATTGTCAGTCTTGTATTCAGCCCGCCTTGTTATCTCATTCTCGAGCAATGCTTTCCTCTTTGGTGACGAGCTATGATATCGAAAACCATTCACGAATAATTTGTTATATCCGTCCATTTGTTTTGCTACATGATGATTATATATGACCTCTTGTAGAAACTCGACTGTCATTAATTCTGGTCGTAAAAGTGGCAGAAGTGAAGGACCATTATAATCATTATATTCACACCATGACACCAAGGCAATGAAAACAGTGTTTTCTGATAATACTGTAAGTTCATTGCTTGAAACTAACATTCTTAAAGAAATTTCTGAAAGATCTTTGAATTCCTCCGTATCCCAGACCTTGTCAAGAGGGTTGAACGCATTAACAAGGAAGCATCGAAGGTACTCCATCAAATCATCTGTGGCGGGCATCTCATTAACATCTGCTAAAACTGATTCACAAAGCTCTAAGGACATACTCACTGACATCAAAACATACTTGCACTTTTTGAAAATCAAGGTAACATCATATTTATTTGCAAGTATAAGCACTTGAAGGACCATATATGGATCCATGTGATCAAGAATTGATGGTTGGTACATAGCTTTAATCAAGGTGTAGTGGGCCTTTAATTCTTCTTCAGTTACTTTCAAAATGATTTCTTTCGAAAAAGATTCCTTCATACCAGAAGAATAAAACAATGCTCTAAAATACGAACTTTGTACTGCGAGCCATGAACTGTGGATGAATAATCGTTGTTCCTGTGATGGAATTTCGTTTGTTAGGGAACCACATTCGTGCTTTTCAACTTCTTCAGCTGTTTGAGTGTTTTCTATTTCTGTTTTTGTAACATGAGATGGACGTTTAGTATTTTTATTGTCAAGTCCTGATAAAATTACTTTATTAGCTTCTATTTCTGCGTTTTCTACGATTTCTGTTTTTGCAATGTTGGTTGGATGTTCACTATTTTCATTATAAAGTTGAGAAAAATGTATCTCTTTATCCTGTTTTTCAATCGGCCCGTTTGCTGTGCCATCGTCTTGTATGTATTCTTCCTGCGGATAGAAAAGAGAAATTTGAGCATGTATAATTTTGGACGCTTATTAAACAAGAAGTGATATTTGGCAGGTCTGTAACAATCAACTGATTTAATTTTGTACACTGAATCATATCATGATAAATAGAGTCCCTATATACACTGTCAGTGAAACAACGTCACTTCAGGTCATTCAGTCACACGAGAATATTACATCTCAAAACATTAATAATGCATGAGTAAATTAGCCAACTATACTGCTTTAACCCGCTTACATGATAATACTGCATTATACCTGGTAAAGTATATTAGTACTGGATCAAAATTAATCCAGTCCTTGGATCATCCAATGGATCATCCTCCTCCTCAGGGCCTCTCAGCCGCGCGCGTCCTCCATAGATCCTGGGACACACCGACCCAGAAATGCATGTTTCTAAAACGCATGCTCTTGAATTGAAACGCTTTAGCACCCGTAACAATTTTCACTGTGAAGTATTACGAAGAAACGAAGTATTTGTGTTGACATATGTTGATAGAATAATTTTGCCCAGCGAAAACTGCTCAACTTCTGCGAAATAGCAGTTCTCTGAGAAGCTAATCAGATCTCGCCCTTTAGTCGTATAAGGTATAACACAGAGCCTAATTTTCAACAAAAGTGGCTCTGGGGACAAGAATGTCCTTGGATTGGATCAAAATTAATTCACCTCACTTTAAGTATTGATTTATTCGTATGAGATGTCATTTCAAATCTTCCAATTCGGACTGGATTAGATTTCAAGTCCTCGCATTTTGACCAGTGTTCGGCTTCGCCTCGGACTTGATCAAATTGCCAAATTGCGCGGCGAACTTGAAATCTAGTCAGTCCTCATAGTCGGATTTGAAACAATACGTCACGCTATAAGCTGTCTGTTAATATATATTGATAAAACGTATCATGTTATTTTTCAAACCAAGCAAAAGAAAACTTCATATGATATACCTGTTTTAATTGATGGCACATCGTTTGCTCGAAAAAAACAGGTAGGGTCCTCGTAAATGAAAATCTTTTTTTGAAACCACATATCGGTTATGTTAATTTGCAAAAAGATATTCAAAGCGATTAGTATCATCTACTACCAAGCTAGCTTCGTTTCAATTTGTCTGCGAGTACTAATATAAATAATCTAAATTGTCTTTATATTACACCTTAATTTATAGTATTTATCCATATTTTACATACTCAATATTATTTGGTAGTCCACATACTCTTCAAGTTTAAGGCGTGTACTCGTACTACAGAAACGAATTGTCAGACTGCTATATATAATAATAATAATAATGGCTTTATTTCCCACAATTCAGCAGAGGATACGCTAAATTATAATGTGTTTACAATTTAGTTCAACTACTTGTTAAAAACTACAACTGCATGATTACATGCATATACAAAAGTATATCTAAAATACGACTGAAATATTTCTAAACATTAGTATTTAGGTTAAAATGATCGCCAATTACACTACTCTTATATTCCAAACACAATCTGCCCACCTGACAAAACAATTTCTTAGCATCATATTAACATTCTCAATTTAAAAACTACAGTTCTAGCCTATCGTTATATTTATCTATTGCATATACTAACGGACTGCGTTTAAATCGTTCAGTTCTGCAGAAGAAGTTATAAAATTTGTCAAATCAATATAAAATTTATAAAATCCTAACTGATTTCGATTCGCCAGCTGCAATAATTTCTTCATAGATCAAACCAGAGACGTTTTACACCACCACGACGAGCGAGACGACGAATAGCAGGTTTTGTGATTCCCTGGATGTTGTCTCGTAAGATTTTACGATGACGCTTGGCACCTCCCTTTCCTAGACCTTTGCCTCCTCCATACAATTCGTCTATGGTCAGATGTCCCAAGGGGGGCGGGGGGGGGGGCAGTATTTCTGGATCTTCGTAAAACTTATGTATGTCCGTAATAATTAGGTCCAACACGGCATTACCCCTGGTAGGTGCTTTTACTATCTGTTTTATGTGGCATTGGCGTGTGATTGTTCTTATATTCAACCCATTACTGTCAGGGTTGAAATCGCCAGCTGCAATAATTGCTGTGCATGGACTTTCCGATTTCAATTTATCATAACAGTAGCAAAAATAGTCAATAGAAGCTATTTACCGTCTCCATGTTTACAGATGGAGGAATGTACACACACGCAATTGCAATTCTAGAAATTGATCTTGGGAGCCAGACAGGGCGTAATACAATCCAAACACACTCGTATTGATCATTTGACAAGTCGAGTCGAAGTTTGTAAGTTATACTTTCCCGTATATACACTTGCACTCCACCACCCCTTCCAACAGGTCTATCCTTTCTGACCACTGAAAGTTTCGGAATATTGACGACTTCATCAGGTACGATATCAGATAACCAAGTTTCTGTGATCATGATTACATCAGGGCTGCACTGACTGATAATGACCTCAAGTTCCTCTTTTTTATTAAGGATTGATCTAGCGTTTAGTAATAAAAATTTTAGTAAAGGCCCTGTCACACTATTGCGTATGAGAGAAACGTATGAGAAGCGTATGAAAATTAACGAAATAATTTTCATACGCACAAAAATCCTTTGAAATGCCAGCGTATGAGTACCGTAGCCTAGAGTATGCTTATCGTATAAAGCATACGTCCAACAGGGGCGGATCTAGGATTTTTCGTACCTCAGTCAAAATTTTTTGGTGGACGGGGCGTTATCGGCGCTGGGCGTGGTCTCGACTGGGCGTGGTCGACTCCAGACGGGGGGAGTGGGCGCTAAATAATTTTTGTGTTGATAGTCCGCCACTGGATTTTTAGAATTTTCCGTACATAAAATGCGATTTGCCCCCCCCCCCACACACCTATTAACTAAATCCTAATTAATCAAATTATAAAACAGATTTAGATTAAATTGATGAACTCAAACGAGCATTTGATTCTTATCCACAGGCACTGTAAGAACAACTACAAATGCACTGCACAAAGATATATTGATGATAATACTTTAAAACTCAGCAGCAATTTAATATGTTTCATTTGCCTGTGGATTAAGAATCGTCGTCATATTGGTACTATATGCTTATAAGTGTATCATTGTAAAACTTCTAAAATCATATGGCAGCAAATGCATTAAGGAAATATACTGTTCTGTTACCAAAAACACAGAACTATACATCACAAGTAATTGCCAGTAGCCTAAGCTCAAAAAAAACAACCACATATTCATTAACTAAGTCAAAGATGTTAATTCAAATATTAATAAACTAAACTCTTACTATTAATAAAGTCTTACTGTGGTCTATATATTGAACACAAAATATACTATTAATAAAGTAGTAACATCAGAATGGCTATACCAGTCAAAGAGCTTTTCAAGCTACCTACAATTAAATATTTCACATCATCATGTTACATCAGACGTCGACCAATGCGGTCTAACAAGCCTTGTCGATAGGCTATGGATAAACAATACACGTATACGCGTTACGCGTACATGTTGTGTGATTAATGCATAAATATAAAGAAATTTTAAATAAAACTTCACTAACATGAGAATCAATAAATGCTTACAATGTAGACATTGAATACTAACATATTTTAGCTTCTTGACGCGAAAATTATGCTAATACAGCAATATAGCATAGCGAAGATATTAAAATATCATATGTCAGACAATCATTAACAACACCGATGGCTTGGTACTCCGCTTTATAAACCTTTAATATGAACTAAAGATACATAACTATAAAACCATCAATTTATCTACCTTATTGCAGTGCAAGCTTTGTCTTTCTCTAGCAGTAGCTCTCTGCGCCAAAATTTCTAGCGCGGCTTCTGCTTGTGTTGTTGATGGCGCCGCTCAGTAGCTTGTCAACAAAATTCGTCCGTGAGGCATCGATATTCTTTTCAAGCTCCGTATACAAACGTTGTATAGAGATTCCAAATTGTTTGCCGCAATCGCAAACTGAACATTGTCGAAAATGTTTCCAGATATCGCTGGTAGAAATCGCTCGTAATAGTAAACGTTCGAAATAGTAAACACTCAGAGGTAAACACTAATGCGGTGTTGACGAATACCTCACGTTGCGAATCCATCGAAAATATAAGCCAATGACAGTGCAGAATTTTTTTAAATGGTTCAATCAGAAGGCTCATACAGAGCCCCTGAATCTGCAAATCCGTCAGGCCTCCCCACAGATCCGTCGCAAATGGCCGTAACCATGGAAATGAGCATGTCAGCCAATCAGATAGCCGGATTTGACCCCCGAATCCGTCAACTTTCATGCGTAAGACCGCTGTTCGTGACTGACTAACATTACTTTGCCGAAGCTCTGCCGCAGCATGAAACGTATAACTGGACTACCGGTACGATTCAAAATTTTAGTAACTCGATCTACTGGCCACTATAGATAGCTGGAGTCAAATTTTTTTAAGTAGGCAATTTTTACTTCAGTCGCGCGACTGATTTGACGACCCCTAGATCCGCCCCTGCGTAACGCACAGAATTTTTGAACATGCTTAAAAAAATTCCCCGCCTCGCCGTATGCCAGCGTATGCCACCGTACGCGACCGTGCTTGAAACGTATACAACCTATGACTAACGTACCCCTAGCGTATGTCAGCGTATACCGGCGTATGAGTGATATTTTTCATACGCTGGCATACGCTAGTACGATACGCAATAGTGTGACAGGGCCTTTAAGGACCGTCAAGAGCAGCGTTTGTGGTTTTCGTAATTGGAATATTGTGGCTCCTACTTTGTCGGATAGCTATAG